TTTTTTCTCACAGTAAACTGTGTTGCAACATGAACCCCTGCATGCAGAAATACACCACAGGCGGTCAGAAGGCTTACTCATGCCACAAACTCTTGACTCCACCCTCCCAAAGGCAACACTTACTTACTATCAGCATGCATTTAATCAGCTCGAGTTGTGAGGAGGAAACTGGACTCAGACAATCATCAGCAGAAAAGCATTAGTCATACATTGCTGATGATTGCAGTGTTTTCACGGCCTTTGCATGCCTGCTGCTTCAGTCGTGTGTGTTTCTACCCATGGCTGCACGACCCCTATGTTAAAGGAAACATCCTGCTGATGTGTCAAAACAAATAAGTAAAAGAGCTGGGTTATGGGTTGGATAAAAGTGCACATTCTCAGTTTTCTTGTCATTATACTAAGTGTTGCATTGCTAGATGATACAGTACAGTACATACATGCATGCGCATTCTTGTGTGCTGCCACCCGGACTGGGGGGAAGGCTAAGCATTTGTGTTGGGATATGGAGTGAGGGTATGTAGGCTGCATGTATTTCTCATGTGAGGAGAAGTAAAATCTTCATTAGAGTCAGACTGAACTGTTGTTGGGTAAAATGTGCCCCGATGGCAGCCAGCAGAGGTAAAAACCACACGACTAAGGTTTTAACAGAACACGCTATGATCCTCTGTTGTTGGTTTAAGTAATGGGGTCATGGAACCAACTTAGAGTGACATGCATATTGAAAGCATATGAGTAATTGTTTGTGGTCTGCAAGCATTTCATGGTAGTGGGTGTGTTTTGTGAGGGGTAGTGGCGTTTTTCCTCACAGAGCTGTCACCTGACACACTTCTGCCTGTAGCTCCTCCCGTTCTAGGAAAAGTTAATTAGGTATTAAGTGAACTTATAGGAGTGCTCAAACATGTCATTCAAGTGACAATGGGCATACGTTAAAAGTTGGAAACTAAAGATGTAGAAATCAGGCGTAACTCCTCCTTCCTGCCACATTTGGCACATCCCTCGTTGGAGGTTGACTATAAAAGTAGTACAGAAGAGTCTGTCTCGACTGGTTTGGCAGTTCTTGGGATCAAACTAGAAGGTGCAGTTTGGAGGAGAGGTAAGAAACAAACACATGGGCCTGACATAAATCTGAAAACCTGCATTTTTAACCAGACATTTGTTAGGATTTCATGATGGACTTTGCAGTGAGGGGAAGAACAGTGAAGCACATTTTTATTAATGTCATAAAGGGATGGAAGTGGTCAGCAGGATGGATCCATGTATTCATATTTATGCCGTATTCTGACCGCACCATCCTAATGTTTTTGCTAAAATTGAGTCTCATCAGACCAAAAAAACTTATATTGTTCAATTCTGCAGAACATGTGTGAACTGTAGCCTCAATTTCTTCTACTTAGCTCACGGGAGTGTCCCACTGACGTAGCCCATCTGCTTGTTGTGTGTGTGTTGTGTGTTTAGAGACACTCTTCTGTTTACTTTGGTTCTAAAAAGCTGTTATTTGAGTTACTGTTTGCTTCCCATCACCTCAAAGCAGTCTGACGTTTCCATTTTGACTTCTGACATCAAGAAGACTTTCACCAGAGAACTGCCCCTCGCCGAAATTTCCTCCGTTTTGGCTCACGCTCTGTAAACTGTAGAGATTGCTGGGATTTCCCCACAGCAGATTAGCAGTTTCTGAAATACTTAGACCAGCCTGTTTGACAACAACTGTGCCACGTTCAAGGTCACTTAAATCACATTTCTTCCTCATTTTGATGCTCAGTTTGATCTTCAGCAGGTCGTGTTGACCATGTTTAAATACCTGAAAACATTAACAAGCAGTTTAACAAGTGTAACTCTAGAAGCCTTTTCACTGAAGATATTTTTGTGTCCACATTTAAATAGTACATACCTTTATGTAAAAAAGAAAAACACTGTAGTGATGCTAACACTGATATGTGGTACAGATGCTAAATAACTCTTTATAAAGAATGCAGGAAGAAGCAGAAGTAGTTGTTACAGTGGTGGCAAAAGTGCCTTTGTTAGTGTGAGTAGTAATGCTTGTGGTAAGAAATATAATAGTTGTGGTGCAGCCATTATGCAGCACTTTCAGCTTTGCTAGCTGTAGCTTTAGGGATCTATTAGCAGAAATAATGTGTAGTACTCATGCAAATGACCCTAATGTAGTTTCATCATGCTAGCAGCAATAGAGGCACATGTGCAAACACAAGTCTTAGTGTTGTGTAATTGAACAAGCTGGGAAACCTGCTGTCGCAGCTGCATGCTCAGTTTTTGGCTCTCTTAGCAGCAACATTCTTCACTCAGTCAAATGGGCCATCTTTGTGGGTGTGGTTCTCTGTTAGCAGGAGGAGGAAACTCTTACATGGCTCCACTGCTACACAAGCCAGTGAAAGCCACTCTCTTTTCTGTTTCTGCTGTGACGGACACCTGTGGACTGAAAACAGGAAGTGCGTATCTTTATGTGCATATCTGAGGTGAGGGAGTGATAAAAAAAAAAGCTGAGAGTTGAAAGAAGATAAAAATAAACGCCTTCCACTCTGTTTGACGGAAAAGACGCAGACTCAAAGCAACAAAGTGAGACTAACTCTGTCCGAAGCTCCAGTTCTGTCTGCGCCGGCACTAATGATAGAAATGCTTCTTCATCTCAGCCTCTGCTTAATTAAAGCGTCTCACAGAGAGCTTGTGCTTGTTCTTTGCCTCATGCAACCTTTATTGTGCATCAAAATACACACACCCCTGCTTTGTTATTAATGTGCTTTTCTGATTAAACATTGACTTTAAATGTAGTTCTCACTTACACTGTGCACACATTCAGTGCACCACAGTAAAAGTAGCACAGATGTGCCAACTTTGCCGGGCTTTTCTAAGAATGCACATATATGGATGACTGCAAAGAAACAAGGACGCCTCGTTTGTCTTTTAAACTCTTAGTGTCTGTGCACATGGAGGGTGTGCACAGCCTCAGCTTTTGTTCTGTGATGTACGCGTAGATAGTATTGGTATGTACAAACTTGTATCTTGTATCTCACTGGATAACCTTTTCACTTTTGTGCTCAATTTCTCACTTTCTTTGTTTTTGTGCAGGGTTGTCCGCTGCCGTGATAAGGACGGGGTGTGATCCTGCACTGCGTGAACGTGGCAAAAAAAGAACAACAGACGGGGACTGGTGTTATCTGGATCTTTTGTAATGAGGAAGACGTCTCTACTGTGACAAGCTTTGGATTTTTGAGCTTCTCCGTTTGTGACTGCAATCAAAGCATCCAGCTAGAGTGCAACCACATACACCACAGCCAAGCAGCAGACTAGCCTCATCAGTGTTTAATAGCATCTTCATAGCTACTGATGTTTTATTCTAACTGAAGATTGAGCCTTGAAGCCATTACCACTGTGTATCAGGTTTACATCAGCACAGTGCTTTAGATAATAAAAGCTCAATAGGTTGCTGTTGCGTCTTTAATAATTGACACATCTTTACTTCTTATTGTGGTTCCAAAGAGAATCAAATTGATAGCAGCTGTCAGTCCTACTGTTCTCCGTTAACTCCACTAGCTCAAGATGGCAGAGCAGCCCATTTATGCCACAGGCATGGCCTACAAACTGAGGAGCCAGTGGGATCGTGATGAGGGCCTGGGGCAGAACCACAATGCGGTGAAGTTCTTGGGTCAGGACTATGATTCTCTGAAAGCCCAGTGCCTTCAAAGCGGGAGATTGTTTGAGGACAGCCTGTTTCCTGCTGTAGCGTCATCTTTGGGATTCAACGAACTCGGCCCCAGATCGGCAAAGACCAGCGGCATGCGCTGGATGAGGCCCACGGTGAGAAATTGCGGCGGTGGCCGTGTTTTTGTGTCTTTTGCACAAGCGTAGGTAAGGGGAATATAGAAGCCTTTCACATCATTTATTGTAAATGTTTAAAGTTATAGACGGTGTTTCCAGATTTATTTACTGTGTTTTTTAGAAGGTTAACATCATTTTAATGTCAGACAGTTATAATACACTGTGTTGCTAAAAGTATTCACTACCCCATTAAATAATTAAATGGAGGTTTTCCAATCACTTCCTTGGACATAGGAACTGTGATAGGATGCCACCTGTGCAACAAGTCCAGACATGAAATTTCCTCACTACTAAATATTCCACAGTCAATTGTTCGTGGTATCATAACAAAGAGCAAGCGTTTGGGAATGACAGTAACTCTGCCAGCGTGCTTAATGCTTTAACATAGCAAGAAATGTTGGTGATGGCCACTTCCTGTTCCAACATCACTGCACACCAGTGCACAAAGCAATGTCCATAGAGGCATGGATGAGTGAGTGTGGTGTGGAAGAACTAGACTGGCCTGCACCTCAACCTGAAAAAAAAAAACACCTTTAGGAAGAGCTGAAGATGTTATACCTGCAAAAAGTGGACCATCAACATATTAAACCATATGTATTAAGAATAAGATGTCACTTGAATTCATATAGGTGTGACGACAGACGAATTAATGCTTTTGGCAACCTAGTGGCACTGTTTTTCTACAGTGTAGCAGACCACACCCCTGAATTGTATTAGATCTTATCTGGCTGCACTGCATCACAATGCAAATGTCTGACTCATGCCTACAAACGCCTCACTCTGATATTTGGTGGTTTTTAAAGTAGCAGCTCCTTTGTAAACAATGTGTAATGTCTGAACGAGCCACTAACAGTAGAGTAGGTAACTGTCTGGAGAATTCACAGCAAGCAAGTGGACATCTTGATGTCCTGCACATGACTGCAGCACCATAGCCTGAGCCATAGTATTTTAAATATGTGCACCCATCTGACAAGAGCTATCTGCTGTTGCATGCCCTATAGTCTAAAACTCGTGTTACTGTGCACACATTTAGTGCACCAGTGCCTAAAAAAACCATGTCCCATGACCACCTGCAGTGGGTGTGTTTAAGCAGAGCTGGCAAGCACTAACATTTGACAGCAGTCCCAATCTAAGCAATTCGCTGTTGTTCTGGCAACAAAGCCTCTGCACCCCACTTCCACCGGGCGCACCTTGATCTTCCAGCCTCTGTCCTCTGCTTCAGCTGCCAAGTTGGCATACCGCAGCTTCTTACGCTCGAATCCTTCCTCAATTGCGTCCTCCCATGGTACCGTCGGCTCAATGATGTAAGCACGTTTTGGGGAGTTAGACCAAAGGACGAGGTCTGGTCGCAGAGTAGTTGTTATGATCTCTGCGGGAAAAATTAGCCTCTGATCCAAGTCCATGTGGATCTGCCAATCCCTGGCAACCTGCAGCGGTCCCAGGTCCGGGGTTGGGGGGCTCGTCCTCGGCTTGTCTCCCTCCCGGACAAATGCTGATGAAAACTGACGCTCCTCTTGGTTCGTGAAAGGTTGAGCGTTGATGGATTTTCTTTTGCACTCAACTTTCTCGGCTAGACACCCGAGGACCTGGTTGTGTCTCCATGTGTATCTGCCCTGAGTAAGGCTAGTCCTACAACCAACCAAGATGTGCTTGAGTGTGGCTGGGATTGTACACAGGGGGCCGGATGGGTCCTTTCCAAACCACAGCTCCAGATTTATTGGGGAAGGTAGCACATCGTGTGTCGCTCAGATGATGAAACTTAGTCTATTAGACTCCATTCCCCAGATTTCACTCCATGTGCGTTTCCTCTCCCAGTTCATCCAGCGATCCTGCTTGGTCAGCGCTACCGCTCTAGCATGTCTTACTGTTTCCTCCTGTCGACGCACCTCCTCCACTACCATTTTCCGATGTTCGGTTACAGATGCCTGTTGCCACCGAGGTGTTACTGCTTCAAGTCCAAATCCTCCTCTGCCCTGTTGGACGTGGTGGGTCACGTCCAACAGGGCAGAGGAGGACCTTATTTATTTTATTTACTTTCTGTCATATAGATGCTGGGTTATAGGCGGATAAGACTGTTTATTATGGGCAAAGTTTAAAATAATAAAGTCATTGTATATCAGAATATGAGCCAAAAGCTCAGACTTCAGACTGCTGTAAATGATTTGTTTCAGACATTTCGTTATTATTATTATTTTCTCTGGACTCTGCATGATGTCAAAGAGAGGGGATATTCCAGATATGGTCATCTCAAACCCTGAAGTTCCAACCACCACCTATAACAGCTCACCTCTAAGGTCTTTTATTACCTGGTACACTTAAGCAAGCTTTCCTCACAGACTTGAGGTCTTATGAGGGGCCTCTTATATCACATCGTCTACCATGTCACGTCTTTTCTTCTCTCATCACCTTTTACTCTGTTATAAATACACCAGTGTGGTCTGTGCAGGTAGAAGCAGCACCACAGAAGAAAGTGGAATTGTATTTGTGAGCATGCCTTGAACAAGGTGTGCTCTCCTTTTTTATTCTTTTTGCAGACACTGTGGCAAGTTGCTGTTGTCAGTTCTGCAGTAACAGAGCGAGCTGTGGTCTTAAAAGCTTTGCCTTGTGATAATTTCGGCTTTCTTTTGAGTATGCAGATCGTCATGTGTTCATGAGTGTATGTTTTTTGTTTCTTTGTTGCATCTAATGCTTTTCTGAGGTCTCAGCCTTCCAGAAATAGCACTTCATAATGCATGCATGACCTGCACCACAGGATCTGTAATATTTACACTAGGAGGGTCATGATCCCACCCCCCTCCACCGGAAAAAAGGCTTTGTGTGAGTGTTTAAAAATGCCCAGGATGCCTCAGTGAGTTAAGCCATGTGTTGAATAGTTGCCGTGTTTGCTTAGCATGACACAAAATATTTGTTTTTATAGCTTCGTGGGGTTTCTCACGCTCACCACACTGAGTGCAAGAAGGTTTAGGAAGCAGGAAGTTGTGCAAATCAAATGTGAACAAAAAACACTAGACTGGGAGATTTTTCAGAAAAGAGCTTTGACAACTTTAGGATTTGCTTGCCTTGCTCGCTACAATGACTAAGAGTATTGTGCTTGAAGCTAGCTCCATTAATCCCAAAGAAAACTACCTTCTTACAACTTCTTACTCAATTTATTATTTGGTATTAAACTAATAAAACAGACTCTACTCGATCAGTTACTTTATTAGAAGCTGTTTTAACTGTGTCTACTAGCTATAATTAGCTAAAATAGCTTTTGTGTGTATGAACTGCCACCTTGATACCCGCTGCTCCCAGGAAGCGACTTAAAACAGTTCACTCCATCTGTCGATCTAAGAATACATGAATTTTAATAAGGTATAAACAAGCAGATCATCTGTAGAATAGAGCATTTTTGTATTTATTATACTAGCAGATGTCTGTGCTACAGTATTGTCTGGCCTGTTTATGATGTTAACCCTAAATTTAAATGAAATGCTGCTTGTGTTGTAGATGCATTAAAAAAAACAAACAGGTCATTTTTAATTCAATTCAATTCAATTTTATTGAATCACAACAAAAGTTGCCTCAAGGTGCTTCATTCAGCCCTGTGCTAAGTGGTTTCCAGGCTATGTGGTGATTTCATAATATGTGATAGAGATAAGAATCTTCAGGAGCCTGAGCTGTACCCGTGTGCCAGGTTTGGTTGCTCAATTCCTGATAGTGTTTGAAGAGTTGGCAGACAAAGAAACAAGCACACAGACAGAAATGTTGCGTGTTCCTCCTGCACTAATCCAGAGTTGTTTCTAAACCTTGACTGAAAGTCTACATGTTTTAAAAACTATTTGGAGCCCACGTGTTGAAAAGTAGAAGTTTTGTTTTGTGCGTGCAAGATCTGGTTAATTGTCCCAAGCTTCAGTTTAAAAGTAGCAATCTGACAAGATAGACCAGACAATTGCCCAGCTCGATTCGCACATGACGGATACGAGAGAGCGGCATTGGATTGTCTGCCAGCTAAGAGTGCAATGACTGTGTTTCCCAGGGAAGAAATAAATGCATGTGTCTGCTGTGTAGTAAAGTTTGTAACAGACAGTAAGTACAGAATAAACTGGGAAGTTTGCTGTGTTCGTTGACTATGTTGGACTGTTGCAGAGCAGGATGTGGGTTGCACAAGAGACATTATACGCAGAGACATAGCACTCAATTCTGAATTGCTGCCCTGCTACACATGAGTTTAGGTTTCCTGCAGCTGCCAAATCCCACTTTAACTCCTGACTGTAAGCACTCCTGTCAGGGGTTTCAAGCTCCTGGTAGCCACGGAGCTTGAAAAAGACACTTAAGTTTAGATTATAGAATCAAAGTGGGCAGCTTTGTAGACTTGCTTCATTAGCTCTGTTATTGTTGCTTCAGTTCATGTCTGACACCAATCACGAGTTCGAGATAAGACTGATAAAGATACAGTGTTAAATGACAGATTACTTGCATAAATCTCCAATGATTAATTTTTAATGTTTCTTCTATCAGGGAATGGGTACCATTGGTATTCTTGCTATCATTGTTTGGGTTTCCAGAGCAGGTTCAATGAGATGAAAATGAGAAAAGAAAGGGAGGAAGACGACATGTTTGCAAAATGTATGTCTGAAGGCAAAGAAGTGCTAATTTGTGTGTTTGTGTGTGTGCACGTGTGTGTGTGTGTGTGTGTGCACCGACAGGAGCTCTGCAAACGGCCCGAGTTCATCGTAGATGGAGCTACTCGCACTGACATCTGTCAGGGTGCTTTGGGTAAGTCCCATTGGGAGTGTTCCCAACTGTTTCAGTGTTACTACTGCATGATTCATCTATTAGACCCGAGGGGTAGAACTGAGATTTAATCTGGCAGAAAGCAAAAGAGAACACTGCCAAAAGAACAAACAAACAGGTAACTGAGTGCATAGATGTTAGTTGCTGTGCTAAATCTAGGGAGATGCTGGATGCAAGTCATGAATAAGTGAAGCGTCTCTCTACTCCGCATACAGCATGAACTTCAGCGAGACACAGAACCTTTCACAGCAAAAATCTGATATAGAGAGGGGGATAATCCAGATATGGTCTTGTGGTAGTTCTTTCAGGGAAAAGAAAAGTTTTAGTTTTTAAAAAATATATATTTTTTATTTTATATAACATTTATAATTTATGCCTTGTCATATCTGTAAGCAAAGGCATCTTCCATTTCTTTCAGTAGATATCTTAGGCACTGCCAAAAGTATCGCAAAAACCTCCAAAATCCTGAACCAGAAAACATAACACATTACTCTGTGGAAAAGGATCAGTGTTCGTGTAAACAAGACTAAGAAATCACTTTTTAAAGGCTTTACAGACTTCAAATCAGAAAACCTTTTCCCCCCCCATAGGTCTTTTTGCAGCTGCATGCAAAAACCATGTAGAATGGAGGCTCCACCTACATCCATATTTCCTACTGTCTATGGACACAAAAAAGTTTAGGAACTCCTGCGTGTTACTTGTATGAAAATATAAAACTCAATGACTTCATTTTTATCTTGAGTATAACTTTCAGCAGAGAAGTGCAGCACTGTTGTGTGTCAGTAACACAGCCAAAATAAAACCTAAAGTTTCAATAACATGTCAGTCACAACTCCTCCCATAAAAGACAAGATAACACAACACCGAACGCAACACGGTTTTGACGGTGAAAGGATAATTGTAGGTCTTGTAACAGAGAATATGATGACAGTCAAACTGCTAAATGAACTATGCCAGTCATTGGCTTCCCATCTTCTAGCAAATGCTCTTTGGCAACACAGTATAATAATGGAAGTGGCAACTGTGGCTTGAACCCACTATGGAAGTCCTACTAACAACATGAGTGAGTCATGGCGAGTCTGAGATTCTGTGATCGCCTCTCCCATTTCCCAGAATGCAAAGCCTGTGCAAACCTTTACTCTTTGTGGGTGAATTCCAGTTTTGTGTGTGGCTAAAAGTTGAAATTATTTGCTAATGTAAACACAGACTCGTGCTTATCATGACAGCTCTCAGTTGATTTATAATGGTAGTAAAACTGTCTTTGCGTTTCTTCAGGGGACTGCTGGTTGCTGGCAGCCATCGCATCGCTGACCCTAAATGACCATCTCCTCCACAGAGTGGTTCCTCACGGACAGGGTTTCCAGCAGGGATATGCTGGCATCTTTCACTTCCAGGTAATGACTACTGACAGCTTCATATCCTTTCCTTTTGTTTTTTCCAAACATATCAAAGGATAGCGCCTGAAAAACACTGCAGACAGCTGTTACACGTAACCAGCTGCAAGCGGTTATCAGGCCAAAAGCAGGTTACTGAGGCCTGAATATGGGTATGGGCTCTCAAACTAAGTGCAAGTGATTCCAAACATGACAATTTATACGCAGGTTGTGATGTCGGCTGCTTATATAACACAGATAATTGTGTAATCACTATACATGAGCTGCTGAGCAATGCTGTTTTTTCCCCTCAATTCCTCAGTGATGACTTTCAAACTGAGGTGGAAAACTGATATTTATCTGAAGATATGGGGAAGCTGTGAAACACCAGAGATTGGACTTTTGAATTCGCTGCATCTCACTGTTCCTGTTGTGTTATTTTGTTGTAGAAACAGGACATAATGCAACACTTCTTGCTGTGCAACTTTTTTTTTTTTTTTTACGTTTTGTGGGCATTTCTGGGCACGAGCTGGTGCACATGTTAGAATCTAATCCACACAAGATCTGGCAAGTATATATACATTGTAGACCCTCACTAATATTCGGTTAAAAGCCCCATAGCAGATCGATTCAGAGCTTGAGATCAGAGCTTTAGGAAGGACATAAAAAAAAGCTTAATGTTAGTCTGCTCTGTCCATTCCAAAACCAGTTATGATGTGTGTTTGGGATCATTGTCCTGTTGGAATACCCAGCTGAGTCCAAGTTTCAACCATTTAGTAGTTGCTTTGAGGTTAAGTTAAAGAATTTATTACTCCACCCATGTGAAATGTACCAGTACCGCTGGCAGGATAATGGCCCCAGAACATGATGTTACCGCCACCGTGCTTGCCAGTCGGTGCAGAGTTCTTAGATGTGAAAGCCTCACCTTTACTCGTCCAAACACATCTCGTCATTGTGGCCAAATAGTTGAATGTTTGTTTTGTTTTACCATAAAACTTTTCACCAGGAGGCATTTGGCTTGTCCATGTGGGGAACTGCTTATGGTTAACCGATTACTTGGATGATACTTTGGGTTCTCTTGCAGACAGGATAATTTTTACCTGTGTCCACTTGTTTGTTGTTCTGAGTATCGGTTAATCCAATGACTGCTGTCAAACCAGTCCTACAACTACCAGTTGTACTCAATCATGATCACTAATGAGAAGTTAAAGCCCTCTCCTTCAAGTTGAGACATTATAGAATCTAAATCCAGTTTATTAAAATATTTAACGTCCCAAGACCCGCACTCTCTCATGTCATACATTTTTAATTTCTCCTTGCTATGTGGGATGATTGGGACCCAGTGAATGGAAAAAACAAGAATTACCTGATTTATTTATTTATTTATTTATTTGGGGGGGGGGGGATTTTTTTTAACCTGAGTTTTGCTTCTGAGAAAAATGAGATCCACATTATATTTCCCGCCTTATATTTCAATAGAACAAGTGCAGTATAACATCGTACGTGGATTTCAGGCCCTTGTAGAGCAAAATTTTGTGTTTTGGTCTAGACAACCTAAAATGTGTTGTGCACTTATGTGGACGCCAGGTCCTAGAAGGTTAAGTGAGTATATGTATCTATAGGAGCCTTTACGTGGATTAGAGGAAGTCCGCTGTAAACCCAGTCCTTGTTTTTTAACGTCATATGGCTTACGGTTTCCTTGTATTTAATTCTTTGTCTGCGTCTGACAGACAGGGATATTACCTGCAGCTTGCTTACAGCCGTAAGGTGTGTTCTGGTTTTGAAATGGAGTCGCAGTAGGAAGAGTATCAGGGCGTTGTCAGTTTAACAGTATTTGCCAAGAAAACTTGAGCAGCACCAGATTCTCTGAAAAATGCCCAACGACTATTCAGCTGTAGGCCCGACGTTCAGGTTCTTCTTCTTTCAACAGTATCCAAAAGCTTAATTTTCTGAGAAGAGATAGAAGGTTAAAAGGCGGCGTTGCTGCTATAAGCCTGTCTTTTTGTTTGTCAGTCCACACTTGAGTCGCCCAAGGTAACTGACCTCACACCTCCTCACCCTGCCAGTGGAGATCTCAGCGTGCTCTCCAAACTGGCAAAAAGCCACTTCCTTATCAGAAACTGCAAGTTTAAGCACAATCTAATCTTTCAAGACAAAGGTAAAGTTGACTATCCCCCGTCAAATGTGTTGAGTGCACATCGTAGCTCAGTGTAACAAGTTCTGCTTTGCAACATAAATACAAATGTTTTCTTTGGTGTGAGCCTCTTGCAGCCGACTAGGGCTTATCAGCTGAACTTTGCACACAACAAACACTCACAAGCAACGTAGCTGCTGCGCGCGCTGTGGCGGGGACACAGGTGTTGGCCTGACAATGCTACCTTTTATGTTGCGGCCAGTGAGCAGGTGAGCAACACGCACATGCAGCCCAACGCTAGATAGGGAGTCATATTAAAGCAGTGGTTTATGATTTTTGCACTTTCAATTTGAATGTGGTACGTTTACAGCCGAAGTGAGGGAATAATGGAAGATGTGATTAGAGTGTGCAAATCCACGCTTTATTCTTTTAGAGTGGATTTTTCACCTCTTTTTTTTGCTTACTGGCACCTACAGAGATGCTGCTAGTTATTATGGTGTTATTATCTGCATGGTTTTCAATAATAAAGCAGTCTCCAGTGACAGCAGTTCGTCATCACATCAATTCATTTGTAATGTTTTGCCCCAACTGCACTTTGATTTAATGCTAATATAGCCCACTTCAGTGGCATGTATTAGCATTTCATTAAGTATAGCAGTGCTATTGAAGCCTGTCAAGCTGATGTTTGGTTGTTCTGACAAAGCAGAATGAAAAACTCTACAGTGTGTCCTGCTCTAAATGTGAAATAAATGTGTTGAGGTTTTGCAGTTATACGGCTGCTAACGATGTGATGTTGACTTGTTTGTCATTTTGGATGTATGGCTCTGTAGGGTCCAGGCAATAAGGCCTGAGTCAGCAACTGATTTGTAGGTAAAATTGTGTATTCCCAGAGCATTTGGCAAACGCTCCCTTGATTTGGTTGCTAGCAGATTGCTGTGGGTGCTCATAGTTTGGATAGACGACATTTCCTTGTCGGCAGGCACTTGTCAACTTTTCTCAGAGCTCTGGAAACTCTGAATTTGAATACAAACAGGACAAAAACCCCTTGGTTTTAGGAGCGTGTCCTTTTTGCCTTCAATTTAAAAGTTGAGCCTTTTGAAATGTGTTGGATGGATTGCTGAGGCAGTCGAAACTTTTATTTTGAAGGTGAACATTAGCTATTGCCTGTTAAGGTAACACTTTTTCAAGTTTTACTACCACTTAGCCAGTAGTTAGCGAGTGAATGCTGACATGTTGGCGTCCTCCATGCAAACTACAAGCAACCATGGAAATCTGCCAGTGACCAAATCAATCACAAGGAGGTTTCGTTGTAGCGCGTTCTTTGGAACTAATTTCACCTGAAAACAATGTGCAACTTCTTGAAATTAACCAACCCATGGTGGAAAACTAGGGGAAATTATTAGTTTATCCTTGTGCCTGCTGTTTGCGTCCCATCCAATATGGCCAATATAACTCTCGAGCAACGTGCAGATCGGAGCCTGCTGTGTCAGCATCAACAGCCAAACCTGCCGCACATTTAATGAAAACTTTAAGAGTTATTTTAAAGGGTTGAGGTCCAAAGTAATTCACCAATTTTTGTAGTTGTTATAAAGGTGAAAGTTAGCACTAACCTTCACACACAACCCAATAGCTAAGTATGACTGTACCCTGAAGTTTCTGGCAGTTGGCTCAGTTAGCGATATAAAGTGCTTAATATACTTTAAAGTTGGCGGGCGCTCTGTCAGGCAGTGATCTCGTTGCCAACTAGACTGTGAGCCTGCCAAGTGAAGGGTAAAGAGGCAGAGAGTGAAAGGGGAGGGAATGAGGAAGTGTGACAGAGAGCAGAGTGGACACACTCTCACACGACAGAGTCACATATTACATGCTTGGAGTTGTGAAGTACAACAAATACACTCGCAGTGAAAGTATCCATCCTGGATCCCTGTCAGCTGGACAGCTCAGTCATTAAAGATGCAGCACCGTGTTTGCGCGCACAAATAGCAGAACTTTTATCAATCGACTCTCAGGATTTTATCACTGTGTGGGTAAAGGCCCACTGCTCTGAAATGCCATTGGCAAAAAGGATGACATCTCCCGGCTGCTCCTCTGACTCATTTCATATCAAAGGATCAATAAATGCAGTCGCACAGACACACACACAGAGCTAAGCTAATTTACACTGGATTTGTTGGGTTTGCTGATTCAGTTACAGTGAGGTCAGCCAAGAATAGAATGAAGAATCGTTTAGCTGATTACTTCCAGAGACTCTGTGTTCGTTTGTGTTTTGTTGACTGCAGTGTGCAGTAAATTTCATGTATAGATGCTGCTCTCTGCTACAGTGAGAGGAGCTAATGCTTCAGTCTGCTCTGAGGGAACATAAATGAATGAATGTGTTGTATGAGTGAGTGAATTATGGCTAAACAGCTTGTTAAATACACACGGCTTCACTATCGTTTTTTGCCTCTCGTGTTATTTTTTTTACTATGAGCCTCTTTTGATTGTGTTTACGTTGCCGCTAGCATATAAGCATGTTCCTACTGCTTCTTTGCTTTTGTGTGCTGCTGAGTCTTTGTAGGATTTCTTTTCTTTGTGTGTGACTTTAAGCCTCAGGATAATTTATCCAGATCTGAGTGAGTCACTGGGGAGAAAAAAAAGAGATCATGTGTGTGCTGGTTGTGGGTATCCTAACTGGTTTAAGAAGTGGAGAGAACAAGGAGTCTGCGTGAAGAAGAAAGTCAGGGAGACAAAAGGAGAGGGGGAATGAATTATAAACAAGTCGGCGTCCACAAAGGAAAGCAGGGCAGAATCCTTTATGATACTCTTTTTATAGCTCGCTTTTTACACATGGACCTTTTGACAGTTTGTTAAGCGCTTCTCAAATGTGAAGGCAGGGTCGCTGCAAGTCATGACACAGATGTGGGAATGGTTAGCTTCCCCCGGTTAGACGAGGTGTTTCTCCCACAGAGCTGTGAGAAAAAGCCTCAACAATGTCAGGTTTAATAAGCAGAATGAAGAAATGTGTGCAGGCCTGTACGTTTACCAGAGGCAGCCCTGTATTTCCTGTATATGTGTGGTTGGTTGGTGTGTGTGTATGCTTTGTGTCGACTTCAGCCGACCGTGTTGTGAATCCATCCATTCCTGTTAAATACACACCAAAACACTATATATACACTAACATTGTCTTGTTATGGCAGCAAGTAACGTGCAGACATCAGTGGCTTGTTTTGGTTATTCATGAGTGCAGATATCGCAATATTGTGAATTTGCCAATGTACTTAATCAGTCCCTTGAGGAAGAAGCTCTTTCAGTCTGGATTTTTTGTGTCTGGTATCTCTTCCCCAAA